GGTTTCCACCTCTGTGCTTTGCAGTCTTAGTGCAGTCTGATTCAGTCTACCGTCAGGTTGATGTTGTGCTAGAAGTTTTACTCTGAAACAAATATCACTTTGTTAAACATTTTGTGAAGAAAACCTAAAGAATCTCATGAAATCTCTCCCTCTCTCCCTATATATATATATATATGTATATATATATATATATATATATGTATATGTATGTATGTATGTATGTATGTATATAAAATTAATTAATTGATTAATTTATTTTGACATGCCACCCAAAAAGTAGCTCTGAGTTCTGAGGAAGAAGGTATCAGCAAATGTAGAGCTTCTTTAAGCCTGATGGAGAAGCATAGTTACTTACCAAACAAGCACCAGTGGGCATAGCAGCGTCAAGGTAAATGTTTAATACCTAGAAAAATGGTAAATCTAAAATATTTGGTTTGTTTTACTTTTTTGGTCACTATACAATCCTACATATGTTATTTCATAGCTTTAAAGTTTTCGCCATTACCCCTTCAAAGGTAAAAAATAGTAAAAACTAAGGAAACACCTGTGGTGTGTTCAAACTTTTGACTGGTACTGCATATGAAGTAGATAAACGATAATAAAATGCATTCTTTGGAAGGAAAGAGAGCTTCACTACCACAACCAAGAAGATTTTATCATTACAGAAGTCTTTGTTTTCAAATACAATTACAGAATTGAGTGAGTTGATTTGTTGCAGTTGATAGTTTTCAGAAACTGAGTCCACAAAATACTATTTGAGAAAGATATGCTCTTTTATATTTGACTCATGATAGCACTGGTATTACAAATCAGGAGCTTAACTTACACTCTTATGAAAGACGGTTCTTCAGATTGATGGAGAATGTGTTGTAAAAGGCTACTATGTAGAAAATGTTTAGCACAAAAAATGGTTCTTGTATTTTTACAAGCTTGACATTGTAACAATCGAAGAATGCTTTTTGGTGCTGTATAGAACCATTTTCAAAAGGTTCTATATAGAACCATTTATAACACATTTTCCATCAATCTGAAGAACGACTTCACTGTCCAAGGAATCATTTAAGCATGTAAATGTTTCTATATAGAACAGAACCATTCCCTTTACTAAAGAACCCTTAAAGACCCTTTTTTTAAAGAGTGTCCATAAAACAGTCAGACACAGTACACCCTAAAAAGCAGTTCTTCAAGGGTTCTTCAATAACACCAATTGTTGTACATGGAACCATAACAACTCAAAGAACCATTTGAATGCTTAAATGATTCAGTGCATGATTAAACGTCTGTTCTCTATGATGGAGAAGCTGTTGTATATGGTTCTTTGAAGAAGCTTTAAAGCACCAAAAAGGGCGCTGTTATTATTACAAGAAGTCAAAGAACCTTTTTTTGTATTATATGGGACCCGTTTTGCTAAGAATGTATGTATTGTGCATGTGGCCAACTCCTTAAACTTTAAACACTTCAGTGTCTCACTCTCATAACTGCATAACTTACATGTTTCATAGTAGTTATCTAAAATATTTTTATAAATCACTAAATAATAAGTCTTAATTATTCCTTTTTATTCATACTTAGTCAATATTGTCATATTTTAAGATTAATAACAATAGTAGGCCTGGGGTTGAAGGGGTTAAGGGAAAGTATAATGCCATAATCATACAGTCATGTGATCCTCACTGCCTCCAACAAAGCTCCTTTTATTCTTAATGCCGAACACCTGAAAGGTTTACTTCTGAATTCAGATACTCAAGTCAAATTCAGGTTTGTGCTCTCTTAAAATATCATTTCATGTCTTAATCAAGTTATACAAGGTGGAGATATGGAGATATACTATACCAGAAGTTGATCTGATTGTACATGGCTATTTGTTCAAATCAAGTTGTTTTTCCATCTGAATTTACATGGCCAAATCATAAGGCAAATTATTCAGTAACTGCACAAAATAAATGTAGATTTTTATTTTTTTTAAAACCTCTCCTTAAATTAACAGAAAACGTGTTGTATGATCATACACATATTGTTATATGCTTACAATTCACTGCTAAAAGCCAAAAGTCTTAGATGCTCTTTGTATTATTTTATAAAATTATTTTTTACAGAGTATATCACTGAAGAGACACCATCTGTTTATAGTTTGTAGCCCAGACTTGTGGAAAAATGGGTCGACTTTCAGTTGACAAAAAAAATTGTGAATTTAGCTTCTTTTATTATAAGGGTTTAAAATTACATTACCCATCTATTTGACTGGAAAGAAGACAGTTACAGCTCTCATATGACACCCACCTTTTGAATGTAGCTGATGAAATATGAAAGTTATGAAGAATATGACAAAGAGCGTTTTGGAACCACCGGTGGTCTCAAGGAGTTGAAGTTAATTAAGTCAAGGTTAATTAAATATAGATGAGCTTGCCTGTGTTAAGACCACTGAGCCTTTTGTAGCTAAATTAATGGGTGCTACAAGTTCATAAAAGTACATTGAGTTGTCCACTTGGGTGTGATCTGTTCAGCTAATATTTATTTGTGTCGCCACCTAGTGGTCAACCTTTGTACTTAAGCAAGGCCTATCTCTACACAAGTTCTGTTGATCTTTCTTTCTTTCTTTCTTTCTTTCTTTCTTTCTGTCATGCCACCCTCTGGTCCTGCAGTACTATAAACTAATACTATGGACTCCAACTCCCAAAATCCACCTGGAGATCATGTGACACTCTACACCAACCACAAACTTCTTCAGAGTTCCTGCTTTGTTCCTTCGCCGAACTCTTATAAAGACTGATTGCTCACACCACTCTTTGCAATGTATTGCCACTGTTTTTCAGAGTGTGCTGAGCCTTTTCTCTGTGATTGCCCAGCGTGTATCTTGACCCTTTTGTTTGTATATTTGACTACGTTTTGCCTGTGCCCTGTTTAGTTTTGGTTGTAGTGTTTTTGCCTTTCGGGATTTTGACCTGTGCCTTTGTCTTCATTATTCTCTGGATGCCGCTTTGGATTTGTTATTGCGTTTCTCTGGCTTTGACCACACATGTTTTTTATTAACGACCACGCATGCTTTTTATTAACTATAAAAAGTGAAGCACACTTTTTATAGTAAAGCCTCAAATAACTTTATCCGCAAGCATCTGACTCTTGGTATAACGTTACACTTTCTTTGGCCTGCTATCTATCAGTCATCTTAAAACATAAATCAGCCCACATGTTGAGGTCAGAAGTCTTTACATTTACTAAATTACACATACAGATTTTTTGAATCCTAAAATTTTCAGATACATCTACTTGTAGAAGTAGTGTGGACAGAGTACATATGTAATGTATTTGTAACAGTAGTGACCACTGTACAAATACGTTCCACTGCAGTTCTGTAAATTAGTACTTAAAGCTGCACTATGGATTTTTTTTTAATTGAAAGAAGGAGCCTGTAAAGCCTCAAACAATCATTTTAAAGTCACGAGTGTCAAGTCGGATTCACAGGAGTTTTTCAGACCATGTAATACCTGTTTACAAGTTAACGGCACACGCACAGGCCCAAAAAGAAGGTCTGGCGCAGTGTTTAGGTCTGACTTGCAAAATCAACATTGTACTGATGACGATATCATGATATTAGTGGATCATTCACTTGCATCCTCTGAAAACATGTCCTACACCAAGTTATGAGTTCTCTTTGAATACTTTTTCAACGCCCTCGCAATCATCAGCTTCATCTGCTCAGGGAAAGGGGCCGAAGCACAACCAATGTTGCAAAATGTTCTTCCACACTTTGTATGACTTCCACTAGATTTAATTTCATAGATGATATCATTTCCACTAGAGAGGTAGCTTCATTTTGACCTGCTACTTTTGTACTTCTACTCAAGTTGTTTTTTTTTTTTTAGAAAAGTACCTTTACTTTTACTGAAGTCATTACTTCACAGAAGCAAGAAAAGAGGCTACTCTACCAACATCTTTGGGCTGTAAGATGTCCAGGCTGCATCTGTCTGTCATATCCTGATTTCACACAGTCATATTGCCAAACACAGATGCCGTTAGGTTTTGTATGTAAAGGCCACGCAGGACGGAGCGAGTGTCCAACATCTTCCTACATGATTCTGACTCACACTCTCTATGCTAAACAGAGGTTTGCGTCAGAGGAAACTGCAGCAGTGCATGTTTCTCAACTTCTGCTTGGCACTCGGGGGTCCTTCCTTCTGCCTGGTATCACCTCCTGCATGTTTATTGTTTCTTGAAATTTGACCATGCGTGAAGATGTGCTTAGTGCGTAAAGAGTAAAGTCCAGTGTGGAGAGAATTCCCAAGTCCAGCCTTATCATTTATCTGTGAGCAGAGCTCTGTTATCTTTACTGTTACTGTGTCATACAGTCAAGTACCTGACCTGCTCAGACAACACCAGCATCACCCCCCCACCATCTCTGTTCATACTCATACATACAGAGAGAGAGAGAGAGAGAGAGAGAGTGCATAAGAGAGAAAGAGAAAGAGGGAGAGAGAATGGGGAAAAGAGAAAAAAGAGAGATAGAGTTAGAAAGAAAGAAAGAAAGAAAGAAAGAAAGAAAGAATGAAAAAAAAGAGTTAAAGAGAAAGAGAGACAGACAGATTGCAGGTATGTGTGTGAGAGAGATAGTGAGAAAGAGAGACAGAGAGACAGAGAACAAGAAAACAGAGTAAAGGGAGAAGAGTGAGAGAAAGAGAGTGAGAAAGATGGAGAGGGAGGGAGAGAGAATGGGGAAAAGAGAGAAAAAAGAGACAAAGAGACAAAGAGAGATAAAGAAAAAGGGACAGACAGAATGCAGGGGTGTGTGTGTGTGTGTTTGTGTGTTTGTGTGTGTGTGTGTGTGTGTGTGTGTGTGTGTGTGTGTGTGTGTGTGTGCGTGTGTGTGTGTGTGTGTGAGAGAGAGAGAGAGAGAGAGAGAGAGAGAGAGAGAAAGAGGGAAGGAGAAAGAGAGAGAGAATAAGAAAAGGAGAGAGACATACAAAGAAAGAAAGGAAGAGCTAGAGAGAGAGAGAGAGAAAGGAGAGAGAGCAGGAAAGAAAAAAGCGAGAGAAAGAAAAAAGGGGAGAGAGACAGAGAGAAAGTTAGGGAGAAAGAAAAAGGGAGAGAAGGAAAGAAAGAGAATTCATTTATGACAGTATGTAGACAGATATTTTTTTTACTTTATATTTAATCCAGCCGTTATAATTATAAGAACAAAAATCCTCTAAAGGGCAGTGAAGGCCAGTAAATCACAAACCCTGTTGAGTGCTTTTGTCAATCTTTAATCCACATTGCAGCATTGCTGTCAACACTTCCTCAAGCGTCTGTGGGCTGGCTGAGGTTAGGATGGCACAGAGAGCTGAGCAGTGGCTGAATTTTACATACACGGTTTCTTCTCAAGCCATTCATATCTATAAACAGGCCTCCATGTGTTGAAGCAGTTGTAGACCAGCATTTGAGGAAGGATTCAGAGTGATTTTAAAGTATTCCAGCACTGAACTGGTGAGTATCTGTTTAACTTGGTTTCACTCTGGGTCTTTTTTAGCTCTTGTATCAAGTGTAGGCTTCTCCATCATCTTGGATGTTGACTTTTTGTTCATTAAACAAAGCAGGAGTTTCCTCACCAGGTCATATACTGCACGTTTGAAACCGGACAGAAACATTACGGATTTCATTTGTGGTCTAAAATTAATAAAACGGAAATACCAATGCTGACATATACACAGAAATACATCAAATGTTTCATACTGACATTTGATTCTGGACAGTACTATAAGTTAATATCATTAGTCATTATGTGTTTTTGCAGAGTACTGTTCTTAAACAACCCCCTGTGTTGTAAAGACCAAGGTGTATTGCTCTAGCCTGATAAGGGAAGTCTTTTGCAACTTATGCTTTGACTTGCTAACATGCTCTCAACTTTTCCTATTTCCATTCTTCAAACTCAAAAGAAACAGCCATATACACCATCTAGCCACTTCATAACTGCACCTCATTGTTTCTACACTCTGTCCATTTTATCAGCTCCACTTAATATGTAGTTCTACAATTACAGACTGCATACTTTGTTAGCTCTCTTTAAATGGTCGGGACCCTCACAGGACCACCACAGAGCGGGTATTATCTGGGTGGTGGATCATTCTCAGCACTGCAGTAACACTGACATGGTGGTGGTGTGTTAGTGTGTGTTGCTCTGGTACGAGCGGCTCAGACACAGCAGTGCTGCTGGAGTTTTAAACACCTCAGTGTCACTGCAGTGCTGAAAATGATCCACCACCCAGATAATACCTGCTCTGTCATGGTCCTGACCGTTGAGAACAGGATGGACAAACAGATGGACCAGAGTCTGTAAATGCAGAACTACAAATAGTAGATGGACTGAAGAAAATGGGAAGGTGTGATAACGCTGAGAAGAGCACAAAGCACATGACTTTCTGACACAAACATTGCTTTAACAGCTTAATTGTTTTAGCACCTGTTTATCTAAGTTCTATCAAAAACTAAAGGTTCTTAAGCGGTCCTTGGTTAGGACACATGGTTCTACACTCCACAGGTGCCAAAAGGGTTCTTTGAGCTATGCTATTAAAGAACCACTCTTTGTACCATAAAGAACCAGTTTAAAAAAAGATTTAAACCTTTCAAAAGGCTTCCTAGAGCCTTTATATTATGCGGAGGTTCTTTAAACTAAAAGTTCTTCACACTCGCATCTCATTTACAAAAATGTTTCTCTAAAAACATCCATTAAAAGGTCGAGTGGTTCTTCTATGGTATCTATGATATCTTGCAAAGAGCTCTTTGGCACATTTCTATTTAACCCTTGTGTGGTGTTCAGGTCTGTGGGACCCATTTTCAGTGTTTATCAAAAGAAAAAAATGAAGATTTATTATTTAATTATTTAGTGATTTATTTTCATTTTAACCTCAGATTCCTTGGCTTTTGCTCATTTTCTATGAAGAATACATCAGATAACACATTTTCAATGACATCACACTGTACACCCCCTACACACTTATATTACACATGTGGTGTTCAGGTGAACCCGCAGGGAATAAAAGTGTGGAGGTGCTGCGTCCCTTCACTCTGTTCTCCTCCTCCACGGCCTGCTGTCAGTGTGTGTGTGTTTGTAAATGTGTGTGTGTGTCTGTGTGTGTGTGAGTGAGGGTGGACAACATGGACAGGCTGCTGACTTGCTACAGCTGCTAAAGGAGAACCCTACGCTGACCACTTGTGATATTTTAAACATCTGGTATTTTTACATAAAATTGTTATGGCTGTATTGATTTAAAAAGAAATAATGTGGTGTGTCCACCAGACCACTTAGTAACAAACACATGAACATCACAGAAGGGTTAAGAATGTAGGAAAAACCTATAAAAAAATATGTGTGTAGAACATTTACTATGTGTGTAAGTTAGAAATTCTTTAAGCTTTAAAAACGGTTCTTTACTCTCACACATCACATTTACACTAATAGCTCTTCAGTGAGCTGTTTTTTGAAAGGAGCCAAAAGTAGTTCTTCAACAGCATCACTCCAAAGAGCCCTTTTGGAAATTTTATTTTGAAGAGGGCAGAAGACCATTTGGCTTCAGCCGAGACAAAAGTCTGTGTTATTACATAATATTCCATATTACATAAGGCATAATACTTTTACACAGATCAGATAATTCCAGATTAGATAATCTGAAGAGAAGATATTTTCAGATTTCATTTCGCAACCCAAAGAAGGTCTGATGGAAGTCAATAAGAGTTTGGGGACACGTTCCCATAAAGCATCTAAATGATAATACGGTTCGTATTCTCTACCATCTTATATATTATATTTTTGTCCTTCATATACTAAGTCGATTCAAGGTGCTATTTTCAGATACACTCACTGTCCACTTTGTGAGCTCCCCCCTTATAGCTCCACTGTACAGGTGTACAGTTATAGACTGTAGGCCTGTTATCTGTTACTGCACAATTTATTAGCCTCTACCTCAGCAGACCATCTGTTACTGCACAATTAGCCTCTATCTCAATTCAGTTTCTGACCACATGACTGGTGTTCTTCAGATATTATTTGGATGGTGGATCATTCTTAACACAGCAGACACACTGGCATTGTAGTTTTATGCCACTGTGTGTGATGCTGGTATGAGTATATTGGTGGTGTTGCTGGAGTTTCTGCACACATCAGCGTAGCTGTTGGGCTGAGAGATGTCTACCACTCAAAAATATCTAAAAAAAAAAATATCAGAGTGGCTCTGTGGTCAGAAACTGGCCATTGATAAAGGGTTAGAGGATGACTATGCATCAACCGAGGAGCTACAGTCTCTAACTGCCATCCTTGCAATGTTAAAAACAACAAATTACAGAGGTGTCCTCTGAACACGAGCTGTTCCCAAAGCTCTCATTCACACAGTCAACTATCCAACTCACCTTAGATGCCTTTCTCTATTTCTCTTTCTCATCTGAAATGGCTAAAGGAGATATTTCTGAGGATGTGTAGCTGTCAGGAAGCCATTACATTAAAAAAGGAAATATACAAAGAAAGTTTGTGATAGAACACCAAAACTGGACTGAAATGTGGAGGAAGGTTTAATGAACTGATGAGTCTAATTGTGCAATTATTTGAATTGAGAAGCAGAAAATGCAACCAGCTTCTAAGACTGAAGGGGATGTGGTTGAGGTGTTTTTGTTCTTGCAGTTGTACAACACCATTTTAACGCCAAAAGTTCTACACGCTTAAAATGACATAAATAAATAAAGCAAAGAATCACTTCTGGTATCCCCTAAAGAATCTTTTAATTGATTTTTTTAAAGAACCATTTTTGTAGTCTTAGCCTCAGATGCTCAAATCCTCAAAAGGGTTTGTTGATTTAACTTTAAAAGTCACTGGGCTAGCAATTGACGTTCTATGAACTTATTGTTTAAAGTTCAGTGAACTCAACATTTTAAGGAAATGTGGTTACTAATTTTTAAAGTTAAAACACCTTTTTTTCAACATAAGCAAGCTACAACTACTGGGATCTGCACAGAAAATGTGACCTTTCAGAGATAAGTCTAGAGTTAGAATTACAATTACTTTGTGAAGACCTCATGTGTTTGCTGACACACTTACAAAATGTTTCCCATGAGTCTGTTTATCTTTTCAGCACTGCTTTGAGACTTTCCTGCTTCGACACAAAAACAATGTTCTGTGGTTGGTTTTTTGTTATTTTGCATGTTAGTCAAATGGCTCTTTCCTGACAAAGTTGAAGAACACCTTCTTTGTAAATAACATTTGTGATTCTGTAAAACCTTTTTGAACATATAATGTAAAGGTTCCTTCCATAACCATATATCCAGGACAAGAACCATTATAGAGCTTATGCACAGTGGAAAATCATGGGAGGTCTTTTTGAGCTGTATCTTACTCTTATCATAAATCACATAAACCTTTTTGATTTCTGTTTTCTTTCAAGGCCATGGCTGAAGCATCCAACGTCACAACCCAACCCCCCATGCTCCCACTCGAATACAGGGTGAGTCTTGTGTTCCTCTACACTCTCATCTTCCTCGGGGGCAGCATAGGCGCCGGCCTCATGAGCACCATCCTGAAGTCCAACATGCTGTCCATCACCACCGTGTCTGTGATCAACCTGTTGGTTGTGCATCTGCTCTTCCTCCTGACCGTACCTTTCCGCATCTACTACTACGTCAGTGACCACTGGGCCCTGGGCCGCGACTTCTGCAAGATGGTCAGCGGGATGATCCACGCCCACATGTACCTCAGCTTCATCTTCTACATCGTGATCCTGGCGGCGCGGTACCTGGCCTACTTCGAGTGGGGCCATCAGTTGGAGTTCTATCGAGCTCTGCATGCGGTCATCGCCAGCGTGAGCTTGTGGGCCATCATCCTGGGCAGCGCTCTGCCCGCCTCCCTAGTCACTTACGGATCTGTACCAAACGGAAGCCTAAGTAATGAAGTGTGCTTCGACTTCGGTGGCGCTCTACAAAACGTCGGCGTTGAAATCCTGAACTACATCATCAGTGCTGTGGTGCTGTTGGCCTGGATCGTTCTGGCCTGCATCCAGCTGTGCATCCTGTGGCGAGTTTACGGAAAATATGGCCGGGCCTCGTTCGCTCATCAGGAGTTTTGGGCTCAGATTAAAAGCCTGTTCTTCGTGTTGATCATGTTTCTCTGCTTTGTGCCTTACAATGTGTTCAGGATATACTACGTGAGCAAGTACTGGGCCGGGCTTCAGAAAGTCAATGAGGTTTTCCTCGCTATCACCGCCTTCAGCTGCTTCGACATGCTCACGTTTGCTGGCAGGGGCGTATGGCGGTCTGCTTACACGCAGTGCTGCACTTTATGTGAAAGGAGAAGATGACCTAAGGTGTTTTTTTGCTAAACTTTATCGAATGGACATCTGAAATGCAGATGAATTTTGTTGTTCATTGAGGAAACATTAACTTAACTTCATCGAAACACCTTTAAAGTATCGTTTTACTGCTTTCCTTCACACAAGTGCATTTTACCTCAAGCCAGGTGAATTACAGGGAAATTCCACTTTTATTATTTCTGCATTAATCAGTCACTGAGATTACGATTGAGAGTAGTTTGGTAGGAAATGGTGCACTGTAGAGAAACTTACCAACTCTACGGTGGTGCTGGTAGTAACTGGGGTTGTGATGTGTACATGTGCCTTCTAAATTTTTATATGTAATGTATTACATGTATATGTAATGTAAGTTGATAATACTAAAACAGGGGAAAATCTGAAAAAATGTGTTTGCTTTGAGGACTATTTTGCCTTAGAGCACCCTGCATGTATCCCTTCACCATGCCAACATTTAAAAAAATACATTTTAGGCCAAACTTTTATCTTAAAACTATCACAAAGCAGTCTCATTAACATGAGGCAGCATATTCATAACCATTTAATGTAATAGTTTTCTATGAAATAGTTTGTAGCATTAAAACTCTTCAGATGTCTGGTTCCTATCACCACCACTGAGAACAAATTCACATCAAACCACTCTGAATGGCTTTATTTACACCCTAACTATTGAATTATCTTAGATTTTTGGGTGGAATTTCTTTGTATCCCTACAAATCCACAAATATGGGCTTCTACTTTGATTCCTCTCAAAACAGCATCATTTACAGATCAGTTTCATTGTAGTTGCTGGATAATTGATAGTAGTTACTAAATAATTATTTCAGTTTCTTAGTAATGTCTTGAGGTTTCTAACTAAATAATAAACCTAGGGTTCAAGGGGTTAAGTTAGTTCCTTTATGTTTTGAATATAGTTTACAGCGCATAAAATTTGTTTGTTATTTAACCTCCAAAGATCCCTTGATATCCCTCAGTCTTGTTCAGTCAAGCAGTGTTTTACTCAGAAATGTACATCTGTAAATATACCTGTAAAACTTTAATTGTAATCAACTTATGTTGAAACCCTTGTAGGAATATGAATCTTTGCCTGAAAAGTGATTCGGTTGTGATTCATTGGAATAGATTTCACTCCACTGTGAGTGAACTCCAGTAACTTCTATGGAAAGTTTTAGTGCATAAATTAGATACCTGAAGGACGTCAAGCGGTGCGGAAAATTCTTCCGGCTGGCTTCGCTTCTGCCCAGAATGCGGATGCACCCTCTTGTAGTCTTAGCCAAAAAAGTAGGAGCACACTCTTTGCGAAACAAGGTGTGTGTGCAGAGGATAAGGTGTTATGAATATGCATCCTGGCAAGACAACAGAAGATTGTTTGTTTAGCAAACAGATCAGGTTGGATTTTCGGGAAGAAGAGCATGATCCAGGCGTGACACCGGAGTCATTCGACTGACACTACTTCAAATCAGTTAACACTATTCGATACATTCTCAAATCAGTTCACAGCCATTGCATGAATGATTTGATAATATTTTGCTCTAGGACTGGCACACATCTGATTAATGACTGATGTTGAATGTGTATATATTGCAGTTTGTATTGCATGACAGGCAGCCATTTTTGTTTGCACATGAAATGAAATCTTGCTGCATTGTGGCGACAAGTGCAGGTGAATTTATTTACATATGAAAGAGCATAGGCAGAATGGACCTCTCACTCTCAAGCGCTGGAGAGCCTCTTCTCCATCTCCTAACAGGCCACACGCAGCTCCCTGTTAACAGGGATGAGTAACTTGTGGAGCGTGGAGTGGCATGATGATGGCTAAATGCAGCTCCAGTTAAAAGTCTGGAGATGGGCTCTTCTTTATATTAGCTATTTTCAGCATTTTAGAATAAAATGAAATGATGACTCAAGGCTGTTTCTGTAGGGCACAGCCATTCAAGTAAAACAGGTTTTTTGCTGACAAATGTCCAGTTAACTAACAACTCCGGACCACAGCGTGTAAGCTGATGACCCGCGCTCTAGGACTTGGTTCTGAATTAGCCGTGTCCAGCACCTTCTCCTTCCAACTAATCATCCTTTCCTGAGTTGAGTGGAAAGTAAAGGCTCTCTTGCCTTTAATTTACTGCATTTAAATGTGCCTGTTAAGCGTATCATAAAACTGTAAAGATGTGTAGATGCGTATCCATGTCATTGTGGTTGCACAGTATGTTGCACAATGATACTATATGGTATATAACATAAACAACAGCTAATAAGCACTGAGGGAAATTTTAGCTCAGCAAACAATGCAAACTATGGATATAATACACTTTGTTAGAAACACCTGCTCAGTCATGTAATTATCCAATCAGACAGTCATGCAGCAGCAGTGCAGTGGCTTAAAAGCTTCAGTTGATGTTAACATCAGGCGAAGAAATGTGACGTCAAATGTGATATGGCTCTGTTGGTGCCTTACAGGCAGTTTGAGGTTTTCAGAAACTGCTGATCAGTCTACAGACAGTCCACAGAGTTCACACAAAAAGGTGTGAAAAGCAATGGGCGTGGGCGAGGTCAAAGGAGCAGACTTGTTAAAGCGGATAGGAAGGTTACAGTAACTTGAATAACCACACTTTACAACAGCGCTGATCAGAAAAGCATCTCTGGATGCAGAACACATTTAACCTTGAGGCGTCTCCAGTTTTGTGAGGCAGGAACAGGAATCTGAGGCTGCAGTGGGCACAGACTCACCCAAACTGGACAGTTAAAGATTGGAAGAGTGTTGCCTGGTCTGATGAATTTTGACTTATGCTGCGACATGCAGATGTTAGAGTCTGAATTTGGTGTGAACAGCATGAATCCATGGACCCAACCTGGGTCAACAGTTCAGGCTGGGGTTGGTGGTGTAATGGTGTGGGAAATGTTTTCTTGGCACTCATTGGGTCCCTGAAAACCAAACAAACATTGATTGAATGCTACAGCTTGCCTGAGTATTGTTGCTGCCAATGTGCATCCCTCAGTGGCCACAATTTATCCTTCGAATGGCTGCTTACAACATGATAAAGTCGTCTCAAACTGGTTCCACGAACATGAATATGGGTTCAGTGACTTTAGTTGCCTCCAGTCACCAGATATGAATCCAGTGGAGCACCTTTGGGATGTGTTAGAATGGAAGATTCGCAGCACGAAATGCACAGCTGGCAAATCTGCAGCAATTATGTGATGCAATCATGTCTACAAGGAATGCATACAGAATGTTGTTAAATACATGCTCTGAAGAATTCAGGTTGTTCTGGGAGTAAATAGGGGCCCTATCCAGTATTAGAACAGTGTTAATAGTAAAGTGACCACCAAGTGTACAATGTAATATAATACTCTAAATGCAGGTATCCACTTCAGACTAAGATACTACAGTGTATACATATATACACATCTATACAAACATTTGCATACATTTATGTACACATGTCCATAAAAAGATGAATGAAATGGAGATTTTGAATTAGTAGAGAATCATGGGGTTTTCAGTCCAGGTGAGTTCAGTCTAGGTTCACCTGGAAATGTGATCTACCTACCGAGACTAAGAATACAGGAAAGAAGTTCCATTCTTCTGCTCAAGATTGACCCCACAATAGGCCTGAACTACTCTGATGTCACTCAGAAATAGAATACATGTTAACTGCCTTGCCATTATTGGTAGAAAATTCAAATTGCACTACATTGATTGATTGAATGTCTGAGTTTAAATATTTTAAGTGTTCCTATAATGAACTAAGGTGCATAGATGAGAATGTATTAATTTGAATGCCTAATACCAGTTAGATAATTCTAATTTATGAAACTTGTTCGCATAATTTGTACAGCAAGTACAGCTTCTTTATGTTTGCACAGTGCTTGTATTTTCCTCTATTCTTTTCTCTCTTCTCTTATTGCTGTATGTGGTTTTGGTCTTACGTGTGTCTGTTCTGATTTTGACTCCACATTGGAAATGTAAATAAATCTACTCTTGTGAAACTCATTCTCTCTCCTGCATTTGGACCACAAATGATAAGAGATAGCTGTCAAATCTAGGGCTGTTATGGTCAAGTAAGGAAAATAAATATCAAATAATATTTACCTACTTGATGAATTATTAATGATTAATGATTAGTTAGAGCCTGATGGACACATCTTCTTTTATATACACCTCCTTCCTTGCCATATAGTGTGCATTTTTGTCATTTGTGTGGTAATATGTATGGCATTCAAATGTGTTGTGCCTCATTCAAAAAGCAGTCAGGACTCCTTATAACTCCTTGTAACTTCAGCGTGAATAGGTGGAGCTAAACTGCTGTTCTATTATACACTACAACTGACAATCAGGAGAGTATATTCCTTAAATCACTTATTAAACTACAACCAAATAAACACAAATACAGGTTTGGGTTTCACAGGTTTCAGCCTTCATTCATGCTGTATGTCTACTGTTCTGTCTGCAGGAGTGAACAGTTTTAGAAACAAATATATTTGCTCCTTTTTTATTTTTAAACTCCTGAGATGAGAGTGTTGTAGGGCAACATTGTCCAAAATAATGCCAAAGATTAGGCCTGAGTATATGAGTAGAGGGACAGACTGTGTCAGAGGGACTCAAACAGAAGGCCTCACCATTTATACCATACTGAACTGAACTTCACAAACAATTATTCATTCCTGACATGTCTAAGACAGAAGGTGGAAGAAGGATCAAACCCAAATCTAAGTCAACACACTGTAGCATTCATTGCACAGTTTTTTTAAAAACCTCAATAGGTCAGTCTGTCACTCTATAACTCTTTTACACAGCCCTCGACTGACGAACACTCTTCCGGTTTATCATCAATTGGACAATGCTGCTTTCCACTATTCTCAACATTTTTATTGAGTATAAATAAAAAACAAAAAGCAGAAACAAACATTTCTCATTATCTCTGGTGATTTTTTTGATAGATGGGATCTGTGTAGATTGCCTTGGTTAACTCATGGTTATAGTGTTGCTGATAGAATCCATTGTCTAAATGTTTCACAGTGAATCTCAGTAGCTACGTCTGTGATTCTGTTAATCGGTTTTATATAATGTCAGCTCCACTTATTACCTCTTTCTCATCTGATAATCACTCAACAGCTTTTTTATTGATGCTAACATCAACAACTGATGACTGATTGCTGAGTTTGTGCAGTATGTAGTTCACACGGGTGCTGTATATACAACTATGATTTACACTATGTAGTTCACACGGGTGCTGTGTTTACAACTATGAAAGTATTCTCTACAAGCTGTTGGTAAATGTTTTCCTTGTGTTTTGTGCAGTTATCCAGTTAACATTGTTGTTTTTCTTTGAGGTCTGTGTTAATCGTTCTGTAATAGTATGTGAAAATGACTGAAGGCATTGCGAATGTGTTAACACACTTGAAAAAAACACTTCTGCTCTGCAAAGAATGTGGCAATGAAGATTGAGTTGACTCCCGTTTGGTTAAATGTGTTTTAGCGATGAAGAAAAACTGTCAAACTGTCAAAATGATCGGTAGATTACACGATTACTAATATCATTAAAAGTGACAGCCACAATCTAATCCTTTATCTGATGTCCACACTGGGCTGGCACTGTAAAGGCCTGTCATGGTCAAGTATGACGTTGCATTGTTAAGAAACAA